CCGAGCGTCCGTGCAGTGGGTCACCCGCTGACTCGCAGGAGTGAACTGGTGAACCCCCGTATCCTGCAGGTCAGCACCACTCACCAAGTTTGTAGAGAACGAGGGGAGGTAAAGACCAGACAAGGTGCCAGAGGGGGCAGCTGGACACGGGAGGACAGTGGAGAAGTGAGAGAGAACAGGACCCCCAGAGGGGTCTGCGAGGGAGACTGCAATTGGCCGACCAAGCGGCGTGAGTGTGGTGCGGTCTCGAAAGAAGGAGCGAGAAGCCCCTGAGTCAAGTGTGAAGGTGAGGGAGGCCAAAGCCGACGTGGTACCTGAGAGCGCAGACTCACCAGCACCTGAGGGCGCGGACGCACTGGCACCTAGAGCAGCAGCCTCACCAGTACCTAGAGCAGCAGTACCAATGCCCGGGTCGGGCGGGAAACACCGGTAACAGTCACCCTCATCACTAATAGTCACAGCATACATGGTAGCAAGGATAGCATCAAAGTCAAGATCAAAGATAGCTACACCTGCCCTAGAAAGCTCTCCCCAGCGGGGGATCTCACTAGCCTCCGGGAACTGCTGATGCCAAGCGTCCGTCAGGCGGCCAAAGCAGCGCTGGGTGGGGTGAGCACCCCCACACTGCTCACCCGCGCGGTCGCCGGAGCGGAGGACGTAGGTGCACGGGCCAAAACCCCCACCACGCTGACGCTGCGTGTACCACTCACGGAGCTGCTGAGGAAGGGGGATGTCCCAAGAACGCTAACGCTGCTTCTGCTGCTGCTGGCGCTGACCACTCCCGGAGCCGCTCCGCTGAGAAGTACCACCCCGACCAGCTCCACCTCCTTCACCACCGCCGCCTCCACCTCCGCCGCCACCGCCGCCTCCGCTCCCACCGCTACCGCCACCGCCGCCTCCGCCTCCGCCGCTGCCACCGCCACCTCCACCCCCGCCACCACTCCCACCGCCACCCCCACTCCCCCCGCCGCCCCCACCGCCACCTCCACCACCCCCGCTAGCCCCACCCGCGCCTTTGCCCCCCTTGCCCTTGCCAGAGCGGCGTCTCCCGCTAGGGGCAGACGCCGCACCGACCGACTCAAGACCAACGAGGTCGCCCGCAGCAGCAGAGGCGACAGAGGGCAACAGGGGGGAAGGGGAACACCCCTCAAAGATGGGGGTGCGAGGGTCACCACGAGAGGCTCCTACAGCGACTATGCTCTTCTCCGCTGCTAGGAGGGCCCTCTCTAGGAGGTCAACAGTGAGAGTGGTGGGACAGACTGAGAGGAAGTGGTCCCTGACTACGCGAAGGGAGTCAGGGAGGCGAGTGACTATATAATAGAGAGTGATGTACATGGGGGGGGGATTCTTGGCGCAGAACTCAGCAGGAAGTGCGGCGCGGTAGCGAGTGTCACTAGTGCGGAGGTGCGTAACGAGGTCAGCGACTGTGGGAAAGGCAGCAAGGTCAGGAAAGAGGTACGGTAGCATGAGGCAGCTCAGTGCAGCAGTGGCAGGGGAAGAGTAGCGCGCAACTACAGCGTCGTATAAGGTGTGAGCACTCTTGTACTGACTAAAGTGCGCGCGCTCAGAGGTAGGCAGGTGGCGACGCACAGCAAGACGTGCAACAGCATCGCGCGTGGCCCACTGGGAGCGAACAGTGGGGTCAGCAACAGCAGCAGGGGCAGGAAAGGCGCCAGAGGTGAGGTCAAAGAGGGAGAGACCGTCTGCCCTATCGCACTGTAAGAAGAGCTGCAGGTCATCTACCCAAACCTCAAAGTCAATGGCTCGACCCTCAGCGTCAAAAGCGAGAACACTAGGGGAAGCCATGACAGCAGTAGACTAGCGAGACCAACTGTAGGACAGGGGCAGTGCAATGACCGAAGCGCTGGTCTCACCAGACAGGGCAAGTCGGGCAGCTCAGTGGTGCAGTAACACGGCAACACGGCTGCTCGGACGGCTCAGTAGCGACTGCGGCTCCGCGGCACCAGCGACTCGGCTGATCAGGCGGCTCGGGCGGCTCGGGCGGCTCGGGCGGCTCGGGTGGCTCAGGCGGCTCGGGCGGCTCGGGCGACTCGGGCGGCTCGGGTGTCTCGGGCGGCTCGGGCGGCTCAGGCGGCTCGGGCTGTTCTGGCAGCTCGGGCGGCGCGGGCGGTGTAGGGCGGCAGGGCCGTAGGAGTAGGGCGGCGGGGCCGCAGGAGTAGGGCGGCGGGGCCGCAGGAGTAGGGCGGCGGGGCCGCAGGAGTAGGGCGGCGGGGCCGCAGGAGTAGGGCGGCGGGGCCGCAGGAGTAGGGCGGCGGGGCCGCAGGAGTAGGGCGGCGGGTCCGCAGGAGTAGGGCGGCGGGGCCGGTGCAGAAGGGCGGCGAGGCCGCTGAGCAGGGCGGCGGGGCCGCGAGGTAGGGCGACGGGGCCGCGTGGTAGGGCGGCGGGGCCGCGAGGTAGGGCGGCGAGGCCGTGAGGTAGGGCGGCGGGGCCGCGAGGTAGGGCGGCGGGGCCGCGAGGTAGGGCGGCGGGGCCGCGAGGTAGGGCGACGGGGCCGCGAGGTAGGGCGGCGGGGCCGCGAGGTAGGGCGGCGGGGCCGCGAGGTAGGGCGGCGGGGCCGCGAGGTAGGGCGGCGGGGCCGCGACGACGGGCGGCGGGACCGAAGCGACGGGCGGCGGGGCCGAGGCGACGTGCGGCGGGGCCGCTAGGGGAAAGGGGCCGCTAGGGCGGCTCGACGAAGTGCGACTCGGGCGGAGCGCGCTTCGGGCAGGAAAAAAAAAAGGTCGATGTGGTGGGCCCTAGGCACAGTTCCCACGGGGGAACTTGCTCGATACCATGCGAAATTGTGAACGAGAATGAATGAACTATGAAACAGTTGGGTACAAGTAGTAACCCTAATTGGGTTGTACCCCATATGGGCTACCCCACTACAGCCTACACAAAAGCATAAGCTATAATGTTCTGACACGTCGTACGGAAATTGCGACCGTGCTGCTGAGGACCATTCCAAATCAGCCACGTGATTACCCTAGTGACAGCACATTTACTGTTGCCAACAGACTGGTACATCAACCCCTCATTCCACGTCAGCCTGCTTCGCCCATACATCCGAACCACAAGCCAACTGCCCCATCACCGCTTGCCATCCATGACTCGCCCTGCATCGGAGCCGATCTACGCGCCCGAAAAAATCATGAGCCATCAGATTCGACACCCCACGGAAATCAGGAGGATTGAATTCCTCGTTCGCTGGAAGGACCGCACGCCAACTGAGGATAGCCGGGTGCCCCTGGCCAACATCGAAAACCACCCTGCCCTGCAAGTGTACCTGATGAGCCGGGGTTTCCGCGATATACACGCACTCGCGTAGCGGAGGGGGCTTCTTGAGTGGGGGGGTAGTGTAAGGAATTTTCTCGGCCTTCCTTACGGAGCCCGACTACATCGCGTACAGCAACAGCCGGTGTTCGCCCGTTACTGCTAACGGGACTTCGCCAACTTCGCGCGCACTGTTTTGCCAAACCTCGCACCGCTGGTTCGGCCGTGTCGGCCTACGCTTCGGGACTAGCCCGAACCTCGCTGCCAGCATAGCACTAGCTAGCTCTCACGCACTGCGTTACCGTTTGCATGTTTCGCGTGTAAATGTTCGCTCATGCCTTCGCTCACATTTTTTACTCGTTTGACACTTAGTGCAATCCTCGCTACTTCGATTCATTGCACCCATAACAACTGTTTTGTTGTACCAACCATATACACCTAGTCCGCGGTATTTGAACCAGGTGAACTTTGTTCTTTCAAACCCCCTTTGTTCATTTCTGGGTAATGTTTTTAGCACCCAGAGTCATCGAGGCTACGATTCTGCAGCCAAAAGCACTTCCGTCTAAGGAACTCACACTTAGTGCTCCAAGATAGACGGAGTGACATTTGTCACACTCGGCATTCACTGAGTTTTTTCTGCCGTCATCTTGCGAAGGGAATGCTAGATTCTACCCTCGTAAAGTTTGAAACAACCCGACTAAATAAGTTTGATAAAGGAGAAGTACCCTCGCGTGGTTAAGATAGTGGCGGTTAAAATACCGTGGACTAGGTGTATAATTATTTAGTAAAGTCAAAGCTGACTGCATTTCACATGTGATTCAGCACGTGCGGCCACACTCGTCAAGAAAGCTGGCCAAATTCCATCACGCTGCATTCCTGAGACCGCCTTCAAGTTGTCAATCGAGCTCCAGTCTTTTTCTGAGGTAGTCTGAATTAGTCTGGGGTTCCAGCAGTCATACGTGGTGACCGGATCTTGGTGGGCAAAACAAGTGGTGTGGATTAGAGCAGCAAAAGTCTTGGTAGGTCCCGTGAGTCCACTGGGGATGGACCATTGCTCACGATGATGGCTTCATGTCTCGTCGGTCTCTTTTTGTTCTTTAGCCGTCGACTTGGTTCATTCTGTATAAGCGCTCCGCTCATCCTCCCACCCCTCTGTCGGATCATTGTCCATCTCCGCACTATCTCCTGCTTCCTTCTCTCTCCTCTCATCTTCCCTTCCTCATTGTTTCACCCCTCCCGTCGCCCCACGTCAGAGCGACTGAAACTCCAGCAGCAGTGCCTCCTCGCCGACTCTATTGCGCGAAACCTAACCCTAACCCTAACCCGACCTACGTGCGTGCCTTCCACGTGGCAGCAGCCCGCTGCACTCGATCTTGCGCTTTGAGGCCCGCGGGCATTGAGGCGCAGGCGGAGTTGCCGTCAACGGGTCCCGGCGCACGCCCCCTGCCCTTTTAGAGTGCGTGCGGAGCGGAAGAGGGGCGGCAAGGCGTGCGCGCGGGGAGGCGAGGGCCAGGAGCGAGAGGGGAGAGGGGAGGCGCGGCGATGGGCGACATGCAGGGGCGCGTGGAGGAGCGGCTCAGAGCCGCGCTGCAGCCGCAGGAGCTGGTGAGACGCAGGGTTGGTGTGCGGTGGTGAGACGCATGGGTGGTGAAACACGGAGATGGTGTGTTGACGCGGGGTGGTAGTATGATTGGGGTTGAACCAGGGTCAGAAAGAGGGGTAGGGCGATGATTGGGTGGCAGAGGGGCGGAGGCATGGGGTGGCAGAGGGGCGAAAACATTGGGTGGCAGAGGGGCGAAAGCATTGGGTGGCAGAGGGGCGAAAGCATTGGGTGGCAGAGGGGCGAAGGCATTGGGTGGCAGAGGGGCGAAGGCATTGGGTGGCAGAGGGGCGAAGGCATTGGGTGGGAGAGGGGCGAAGGCATTGGGTGGCGGCGGCAGGTAGAGGGGCCCAGGTATGGGGTGGCAGAGGGGCGAAGGCTTGGATTAGCGGAGGGGCACAGGCATGGGGCACAGGCATGGGGCACAGGCATGGGGCACAGGCATGGGGCACAGGCATGGGGCACAGGCATGGGGCACAGGCATGGGGCGCAGGCATGGGACGGGGCGCAGGCATGGGACGGGGCGCAGGCGTGGGATGGGGCGCAGGCATGGGACGGGGCGCAGGCGTGGGACGGGGCGCAGGCGTGGGACGGGGCGCAGGCGTGGGACGGGGCGCAGGCGTGGGACGGGGCGCAGGTATGGGACGGGGCGCAGGTATGGGACGGGGCGCAGGTATGGGACGGGGCGCAGGTATGGGGCAGGCTTTCTTCTCGTCCTTGCGTGGCTTTTGGACGGACTCAAAATCTCTCCCACCATCTTGTCAGATCACCTCGTGCACATCCAAACCCAACCCACCGTTGGCACACATCAGCTCCCTTTCATGCCCATATCCCCCTTGCCCCCCCTTCCCTTCCGCCTCTCCCTCCCTCCCTCTCCTCCTCTCTCTCCCCCTTGGCCCACCCAACCCCCCCTCCCCTCACCCCCCCGCAACCCGCGGCCGCCCCGCATGACCTGGCAGGTGGTGATTGACACGTCAGCAGGGCACTGTGGCACGGCGTTTGACGTGGCGGTGGTGTCGCCGCTGTTTGAGGGCAAGAGGCTGCTGGAGCGGCACCGCATGGTGAACAGTGCTCTCAGCGACGAGCTGCCGCACATCCATGCGCTGAGCATCAAGAAGGCGTGGACTCCCGAGCAGATGCATGCTCAGCAGAGCAAATAGGGCAGATGGCTTTGGGAAACAAGTACCTGTAGCCCAACAATTTTCTTCAATTCTTTGAAATGAAAGTTTGTTTGAAAAGGAGTGAAGCTGAGCAGATGCAGGCCCAGCTGAAGGCAAGAAGCTGCTGGAGAGGTACTGAATGTATGCTGGTGATTCACTGCACTAAGCACGGAGCTGCCAGCTGCACATCCATGTGTCGAGCATCGAGAAGGCATGCATGCCTGAAGAGATCCATGTGTAGCATAGCCGTATGGCAGTGGATGAACTAGTACACTAGTACAATACCAACGGGAAAGGAAGAAAGAAAAGTCCGAGGGTCGATCAAGAACGTAGTTCTGCTTGGAGTTGGTCGAAAGGACCGAAAGAATTTGTGTTTAAGCTACGGTATTAAAGGCCTGCCAGAGCAAAAATTATGTGGAAGGTGATGGAGTGGAGAGCTCAGGGGAGTTGTCAGGGGGAGGTACCTATGATGAGCTTGGCCTAGAAGGCCTGATTGCCTACTTCAAACCCGAAGCCTGAATTACAAAAAAAAGTAGGGAGGTGTTAATGTCAAACTATATATGTGCTAGTCCTATGTAGGCTATAGTGGGGTAGCCCATATGGGGTACAACCCAATGTTAGGGTTAGCACTTGTACCCACAATTCATTCAATGCAGTCATTCCTGCTTGCTATCTTGACATGGTTTAAGAGCAGTAGGTCCGTAGGACCGTTCTTTTTTCCGGGCCCACCACACTTAGCAACCGAATGCGGTTACCGCATTACCCCACTACCACGCGTCGCACTGCCCCATGCACGCCCTGCCCTACCCCGCGTCACGCTGCCCCGCGCACACCCTGCCCTGCCCCGCGTCGCGCTGCCCCGCGCACGCCCTGCCCTGCGCGACGCGCCCTATGGCAGCCCGCGCGTTGCGCTCTGCTGCCCCGAGCGTCGCGCTCTACTGCAGCCCGCGCGTCGCGCCCTACTGCCCCTGCGTCGCGCTCTGCTGCAGCCCGCACATCGCGCCCTACTGCCCCGCGCGTCGCGCTCTGCTGCAGCCAGCGCGTCGCGCCCTGCTGCCCCGCGCGTCGCGCTCTGCTGCAGCCCGCGCGTCGCGCCCTGCTGCCCCGCGCGTCGCGCTCTGCTGCAGCCCGCGCGTCGCGCCCTACTGCCCCGCGCGTCGTTCCCTGCTGCAGCCCGCGCGTCGCGCCCTGCTGCCCCGCGCGTCGCGCCTTGCTGCAGCCCGCGCGTCATGCACTGCTGCCCCGAGCGTCGCGCCCTGCTGCCCCGTGCGTCGCGCTCTGCTGCAGCCCGCGCGTCGCGCCCTACTGCCCTGCACGTTGCGCCCTGCTGCAGCCCGCGCGTCGCGCTCTGCTGCCCCGTGCGTCACGCCCTGCTGCAGCCCGCGCGTCATGCCCTGCACCCCTGCGCAACACGCACCCTACTGCCCGCGCCGCACAGGCCGAGCCGCGCCGCCCAGCCCGAGCCGCCCTGCCCACCCCGATCCGCCTTGCTACTTGTGCTACTGCTGCTGTTATTGGAGGTGCTGCAGCCTAGCCTCACGAGCCGCTCTGCTGCTCTTACTGCTGCTGCTGCTACTCGTGCTACTGCCTTCACTCCATACTACCCTAGAGGTCATGCTCCTCCTAGCTTGCCCTCTATGACTTCCCTTTGTAGTAGCGGTGGGAGTGGTGACGGCGGTGGTGGCAGCAGTGGGAGTGGTGGTGGCCGTAGTAGCAGCCACTGTGGCGCTGTTCGTTGCGGAGTTTTTGGCGGTGGCCAGATGCAGCTACAGCGGCGTCCGACCCTTACGCCACGGCAACTTCGTGAGTGGCTTTACCAGCGTGGGACGTCTCTGAGTACTGCTCGCTGCCCGTACGTCATTCGCACAAGTCGTAGGGCTGGTCAGACCTGTGGGACAGCTGGTCACGCACAGTCCCGCTGCTTCTCCTATTTGAGTGACGCCTGGCACGCAGAGTTTGGCGACGAGGCTGAGCTCCCCCACTGGCTTGAGCTGCTTAGGTCGGGCGTTGATGTCTTTGCTTTAGACTATGACGCCATCCTTACTGCCATGTCTGCTTTGCCTAGTGGTGCTGAGGGTGACTGTTACCTGTGTGTGCACCACGACCCCGGTATAGAGGTTGCTGCTCTAGGTGCCTTGGGTGCTAGAGAGTCTGCTCTCTCTGGTACTGCGCCTGCGCTTGCACACTTCATGCTTGACTCAGGTGCTTCTTGCTGTTTCTTTCGCGACAGTACCGCACTCACGCCAATCCCTGCACCTGTGGCAGTGTCTCTCTGGCTGACCCCTCAGGGGGCCCAGTTCTTGCACGGTCCACCACTGTGCTTTCGTTCCCGGTGGTTCCGTCTAGCTCACTATCAGGTCTTCACCTCCCCTCGTTCTCTACGAACCTGATGAGCAACGCAGTCCTCCAGGATGCATGGGTTGATACCTTTTCCCCTGGAGGACAGCGTGTGGCGACCTGTACGTGCTCCCGGACTGGCTGTTACTGGCCACGTTCACCCGTCGGCCAAGGTCGAGTCTTTACACACTAACTACTGCGTCCCCTCAGGTAGCTGCTACTGGTCAGGTGTCTGCGTCACGTCAGGTAGCCTCCCCTTGTTCGTGTCGCTCCCTGTCGCACCAGACTCTTCTATGGCACCACCGCCTGTGTCATCCCTCCTTGCCACGTCTACGTGGCATGCACCGTCGCCTCCTTATGTTTGGTCTTCCCAGGTCTCCCCTCCCCTCCATGCCTCGCCTGCGCCGCCCTGCCTTCCTTGCGTCGAGGGGCAGCAACGCGTCGCTCCTCACTCCTCCGAGTTTCCCCCGACAGAGGCTCCCCTGCAGACCCTCCACATGGATGTGTAGGGCCCAGCCCGCGTTCGTGGACAGGGCGGCGAGCGGTACTTTCTGCTGGTTGTCGACGACTACTCGCGTTACACCACGGTCTTCCCCTTGTGCACCAAGGGTGAGGTCCCTGATGTCCTAATCCCTTGGATCCGAGAAGCTCGTCTCCAGCTCCGCGAGCGGTTCCACCAGGACCTCCCTATCCTACGTCTGCACTCTGACAGAGGTGGTGAGTTCTCCTCCGACCTCTTGCGGGCCTTCTGTTAGAGGGAGGCATCCTCCAGTCGTTCACGCTTCGGGGCTCACCGCAGCAAAATGGGGTTGCTGAGCGCCGCATTGGCTTGGTCATGGAGATCGCTCGTACCTCCTTGATCCATGCGGCGGCTCCCCATTTTCTGTGGTCGTTTGCGGTCCGGTACGCCGCGCAGCAGCTCAACCTCTGGCCCCGTGTCTCCTTGCCGGAGACCTCGCCAACACTGCGTTGGACGGGAGAGGTTGGCGATGCGTCGGTGTTCCTTGTCTGGGGTGCTCGCGCCCTTGTCCGCAATACGTCCGCGGACAAGCTCTCCTCCCGCACCGTTACCTGTGTCTTCCTTGGCTTCCCCCCTGACGCGCTTGGCTGGCAGTTCTACCACCCCACCTCGGGCAGTGTTCTGTCCTCTCAGGACGTCACCTTTGACGAGTCGGTTCCTTTCTACCATCTCTTCCCCTACCGCACTGCCCCCCTCCCTCCCCTGCTGTTTTTCCTTGCTCCAGGTCCCCCTCCGGTAGACCCCCTCCCCCCTCAAGGTCCTGCTCCTTCAAGTGTGTCTCAGGTAGACCCACTCCCCCTGGCTGAGCCTGTAGAGGTCACTAGCGACTCAGGTGCTGCTGCGGGTGGTGCTGCTCGGGGTGCTGCGTCTGGGGGTACTGAGCCTGTGCGTGAGGTGCTGGGGGGTGCGGAGCCTGGGGTTGCTGAGCCTATGAGTGCGGAGCGTGGGGGTGCTGAGCCGGAGGGTGCCGGGTCTGGGGGTGCTGAGTCTGCTGGCGTTCCTCCGGGTCTCTTTTCACGACGGGAGCCTCTCTCACCACAGCAGCTACGAGAGTGGCTTGCATGGCGTGCCTGCCTGAGGAGTCGTGCTGCCGGAGCTGGAGGTCCTGCGGCTGGAGGTACTGCTGCTCGAGGTGGTGCGGTTGGAGCTGCTGGAGCTGGTCGTCGTGGAGGCGCTGGGGGTGCTAGTCTTTCTGGGTCTAGAGGTGCTCGTACTGGAGGTACTGGAGTGGCCAGAACTGTTGGTACTGCTGGCGCTGAGGGTCCTGGAGGTGCTCGTACCGGACATACTTGAGCTGCCGGGGTCCGTGGTGCTGGAGGCACTGGAGACCCACGCGTTGGAGTTCGAGACCTTGGAGCTGGAGGTGCTGGCCCAGAGGGTACTGAGTCTATTGGTGCTGAGCCTAGGGGTGCTGAGTCTGCTGGAGGTCCTCCTGGTGCTACGTTACAGCGGTCACCTCTCTCGCCGTAGCAGCTGCGCGAGTGGCTTGCTTCGCGCACCCCCCTTTCGAGTCGCGCTGCTTGAGCTGGAGGTGCCGGAGCTGGAGGCACTAGAGCTGGAGGCGCTAGAGATGGAGACCCTGGAGCTGGAGGTGCCGGTTCTGGGGGTGCTGCTGCTGGAGGCACTAGACCTGGAGGCCCTAGAGCTGGTGTTGTCAACCCTGGAGTAGGAGACCCTAGAGCTGGAGGTGCCGGTTCTGGGGGTGCTGCTGCTGGAAGTGCTGGAGCTGGAGGCCTTGGCGCTGGTACTGTCGACCCTGGAGTAGGAGACCCTAGAGCTGGAGGTACCGATTATGGGGGTGCTCCTGTTGGAGGCCCTGGAGCTGGAGGTGCCGGAGCTGGAGGCGCTGGGGCTGGAGGTTCTGGAGCTGCTAGAGCCACTAGAGCAGTTGGTGCTCGTACTGGAGGTGCTGGTACTCGAGGTGCTGGTGCTGGTGCTGGTGGTACTGGAGGTGCTGGTGCTGGTGGTACTGCACAGCTGCGACTGTTCTTCGCTCTGCCATCCCCGTCGTCTCTGCCACCGCTTGAATCCATGTTTCGCCAGGCTCTTAGCATCTCGTCGTCTACTGGCCTCCCGTTACAGCCAGGCTCTCCACTCCTTGCTCCTTCTCCTTACACTGAGCAGACAGACTTGCTTAAAGAGTGTCCTGAGCCTGCGTCTCGTCCTGTCTTGCCTGTTTCCGCTGGTCGCACTGGTCGTTGTGTTCCTTGTGAGCGTCCCCCTCTTGTCCCCAGCACGCACACTATGGCACTTCGTCCTTCCTCTGTTCCACAGCGCGTTCCCCTGCCGTCTCCTCCTGCGTCCTCTCTTCCTTCCGGTCCGGACCCAGATTCAAACTTAGTTCGTGCTGCCAGACTTACTGACACGCGTCTCCTAGCCACAGTTGTCACTGACACTTCGTTTGAGTACACTGCTGCGTCTGCCTTAGTCGCTGAGCTTGTTGACTTTGCTGCTGCTTGTCGTCTCAACTACGCCGCTAATCTTGTTGCTGAGTCTGAGTCTGACTGTCCTCCATCCGTCGGGGGTGAGTGTGCTCTTGGCATGGACGTCCTTGAAGACAGGCAGGAGGACTTTGAGTGTTTTGCAGCTGCTGTACCTCATCTCATGTCCATGCTGATTGCACCTGAGGGAGACCCGGATGCACCAGACATCGCCGAGTTCTCCGTCTGTCTTCAAGGCGCGTTACGTTGCACGAGGCTTCAGTCAGAGACAGGGATTCAACTTCTTCAAGACCTTCTCCCCTACCCCGAAGGTGACCACTGTTCGGGTTCTACTGCACGTCGCCGCTCAGCGTGACTATGAGCTTCACTCTCTTGACTTCAGCACACCTTTCTTACAGGGCAGCCTGCACGAGGAGATCTGGCTACGCCGCCCACCTGGCTTCACTGGATCTTTTCCTGCATGTGCCCAGTGGAGCCTCCGGCGGCCAATCTACGGTCTCCGTCAAGCGCCTCGCGAGTGGCACGACACACTGAGAACGACGCTTGCGGCTCTTAGGGTTTGCTCCTTCGACTACTGGCCCGCCGCTGTTTCTGCGCACCGACACTTCGCTGCCACCGTTCTACATCCTCGTGCACGTCAACGACTTGGTCTTTGCCACTGCTTACAATGAGGGACTCGCCTACGTGAAGTCGGAGCCGCAGAAGAGACACACGTGCACAGACCTGGGAGAGCTGCGCAACTATCTTGGCTTGCAGATCACCCGGGACAGAGCACGGCGCACTATTACCCTGACTTGGTCACACATGGTGCAGCAGGTCCTTCAACTCTTCCTCTTCACGTACTCCTTGCCACATTCCACTCCTCTGCCTACTGGTCACTCGTTCTCAGCTCTGCATTCTGATGAGTCCGTAGAGCCGAGTGGCCCGTATCTAGAGCTTGTGGGCTGCCTCATGTATCTGATAACCTGCACTCGACCTGACCTTGCTTACCCTCTTAGCATCCTGGCACGCTACGTTGCGCCCGGGAGACACTGACCAGAGCACTAGGAGGTCGTTAAGAGGGTGTTGCGCTGCTTGTGTAGTATGTCGGGCATGGGGCTCGTGCTTGGAGGACGGGCTCGAGTTGTCCTCACTGGCAACGCAGACGCTTCTTGGGTTGACGACTTGGCCATGCAGCGGTCGTCACAGGGTTACACCTTCAGCCTTCGCTCCGGCTCTGTTTCCTGGCGGTCTACCCGCTCATCTTCTGTTCTCAGTTCCAGCTGTGAGGCTGAGATCTACGCAGGGGCCATGGCTGCACAGGAGTTACGCTGGCTCACCTACTTGCTGACCGACTTGGGAGAGGCGCCGCGTTCTCCTCCAAATCTGTACGTCGACAACAAGGCGATGATTGCCTTGTGTTAGGAGTACAGACTGGAGCACAGGACGAAGCACATCGCTCTGTGTTACTTCCTCGCTTGAGAGTTGCAGCAGGGTGGACAGCTTCGTCTTGCTTACGTGGCCTCTCGGGCCAATACTGCTGATATCTTCACCAAGGCACTCCAGCCTTGTGATCATCAGCGGTTCTGTACTGTTCTAGGATTTGTGCCTTCTTGGCCTCACTTGCTCACCTCTTGACTTTGCTTGTAGTGTGATCTATATTGTATACCTGCATGCCTACTCCTGCTAGGTAGTGATCACTGTACTGTCGTTGTTGGATATATACCTCTGCATGTGAACTGGCCTTGTGGCCCTTTGCTTGTGCTCGGAGTGTGTGGTGTCGTTGTGATCCACCTTGAGCTTGCTTCGCTTTTCTTTACTGGTCTTGTGACCCCTTGTTCTCCCCCACTTTGCCTATGGGGGTGTGTCAAACTATATCTATGCTAGTTCTATGTAGGCTATAGTGGGGTAGCCCATATGGGGTACAACCCAATGTTAGGGTTAGCACTTGTACCCACAATTCATTCAATGCAGTCACTCCTGCTTGCTATCTTGACAATTAACACTTTCCCTCCCCAACCAAGGTGGTTACTAGTTGTTCACCTGCAAAACGTGATGAATTCGCAGTTAGCACAGGGAAGTGTCGCGCAACCACTCTTGGCGTTGGTGTGCACACCAAACTGGAAACCTGTAATTCAGGTCGACTGAAATGGCTTAGTCTATCGGGGAGAGCAAACAGCTATAGCTTTGAACGGCTAGGCTCGAACCCTATTCCTGTCCCAGGCCTCTTGTTTCTGCCTTACACTTTAGGACAAGTACTCCATTCCGTCCAATCGGAAATTATATAACTCTCTGCGATTCTAAACCCCTCTTTCACTCGACATAGCTAGCCACGGGCCCACGCGCACACACCCACCAGCAATCCCTTCCGTCGCCCACGCGCACTCCAGCAAGTTGCCCACGCTCAAGACCTCACAAGCCCATGCTCACTCCCTGGCCATCGCCTTCACGCAATTGTTCCGTTGGGAGCTCTCAATCACTACCGTCGCCCGCGCTAACTCCCTTCCCGTCGTCCACGCTCACTCCCATTCCATCGCCCTCGCGCATTCGTTGCGTTGCCCACTCTCAATCCCTACCATCGCCCGTGTTACTCCCTTCCTGTCGCCCACGCTCACTCCCTACCCATCGCATTCGCGCAATCGTACCGTCGCCCACGATCAATCACTTCCGTCACTCACGCTCACTCCAACCCATCGCCCAGGCTCACTCCCATTCCATCACCTTCGCGCGATCCTTCCGGCGCACACGCTCACCCTCGTTTCATCGCACACCGTCTATTCCCTCCTGTCGCACACTGCCTCCCGCATCTCTGCCTCACCCCATCTCCTCCTCCCCGCAGCTTTGTATTCGCGAGCACTCCCTCTCGTCGTGCGCGAATGCGTCCCGTCCACCGCCCACGCTCTCTCCCTCTCACCGTGTTCTCTCACTCCCCACCTGTCGCGATGGTCCCCTCCGTCGCACACGCTCACTCCCCTTGAGGGGTGACCATCACTCCTCTTCGCTCCGCCACGCGATTCCCTCACGTCGCCCACGCTCTCCCCTCCCCGCCACGCACGCTCTCCCCCCATCCGTCGCCCACGCTCACGACCCGTACTCCGCACAGGCTCAGTTCCCTCCGTCGCCCACGCGAATCCCCCTGCCCCTCGCCTTCTCTCATTCCCCTCCGTCGCCTATGCTCCCTCCCCATCCCATCCCTCCCCATCCCTCATCTCCCCATCCCCACCTCCCCATCTGTTCCCTCTCCATCCCTCACCTCCCCATCCCTCACCCCATCTCCTCCTCACCCTATCTCCTCCTCACCCCATCTCCTCCTCACCCCATCTCTTCCTCACCCCATCTCCTCCTCACCCCATCTCCTCCTCACCCCGTCTCCTCCTCACCCCATCTCCTCCTCACCTCATCTCCTCCTCACCCCGTCTCCTCCTCACCCAATCTCCTCCTCACTCCATCTCCTCCTCACTCCGTCTCCTCCTCACCCCATCTCTTCCTCACCTCATCTCCTCCTCGCCTCGTTTCCTCCTCACCCCATCACCTCCTCACCCCATTTCCTCCCCACCCCATCTCTTCCTCACCCCATCTCCTCCTCACCCCATATCCTCCTCACCCCATCTCCTCCTCACCCCATCACCTCCTCACCCCATTTCCTCCCCACCCCATTTCCTTCTCACCCCATTTCCTTCTTACCCCATATCCTCCTCACCCCATCTCCTCCTCACCCCGTCTCCTCCTCACTCCATCTCCTCCTCTCCCCGTCTCCTCCTCACCCCATCTCCTCCTCACCCCATATCCTCCTCACCATATCTCCTCCTCACCCCATCACCTCCTCACTCCATTTCCTCCCCACCCCATCTCCTCCTCGCCCCATTTCCTCCTCACCCCATATCCTCCTCACCCCGTCTCCTCCTCACCCCATCTCCTCCTCACCCCATCTCCTCCTCACCCCGTCTCCTCCTCACCTCATCTCCTCCTCACCCCCTCTGTCGGCTCGCACTCCGGCTGTTGCTGTGGCGAGCGAGTGTGGCTGCAGACGGGGGTCACAAGGTGAGGCATACCACAACCTGCTTTGTTGTGTGGGGTTTAGGATGCTCTGCTCTGCTCTACGAATCTACAGTGCTGTGCTGTGCTCTTCTTTGCACACACCCCTCCCTCCCTTCTCATGTCCTTTGTTTCCCTCTTTCTGTCTCATCTCGTTCACAACCAGGTGGCTGTGCAACGAACCAAGCTCAAGACATCAGTTCGCGGTGTCAAACATTGTATATGTTACTGTTCTGTAGGCTACAGTCGGTATAGCCTTAGGGGGTACAACATTATAGGGTTTTCCTTCTTGTACTCCCAATCTTGCTAGTCCAACCACTTCTCTCATTATGACATGGTATTACGAGCCTAGGTTAGGAACCTAGGACCACCTACCTAAGGGCCCACCGTTCCGCTAGAAGCGCCCTCGAGCGTCCTGTCGCCTTAGCGCCCTCGTGCGCCTCTCTGTTAGTGCGCCCTCGTGCGCCTCTCTCTCTCCTGCTGCCCGTGTGCAGCTCGCTAGCCCCGCGCGCGGCCTTTTTTTTTAGCGCGCGTAGCCCGCTAGCCGCCCGCGCGCGGCCCGAGTCATGCACGCGTCGCCCGTTAGCCGCCCGCACGACCAGCGTCGCCCACGAGCAGCCCGCTAGCCGCCCGTCGACCGGCCTTGCTGGCCGTCCAGCGCGCCGCAGCCCCGCCCGTAGGCCGCCGCGTTGCCTGTGTAGGCCGCCGCCCGCGCGCGACTTCAGCCCACGCACAGCCACGGCCCGTACGCTGCAGCCGCCCACGCGCAGGCCCACCATCGCGCCGCGCCGCGTAGCCTAGTCCGAGCCGCGCCGCCCTGACCGAGCCGCGCCGCCCTAACCGAGCCGCGCCGCCCTGACCAAGCCGCGCCGCCCTACTGTGCACCACCTGCAGCACCTTCTGATCCTGTTCCTACTACTATAGCTGCTACTGCTACTGCTCTTACTGCTACTACTGCTACTGCTACCACTGCTACTGCTACTGCTACTGCTGCTACTGTCACTATGGCTAGTCCTACAGTTCTCACCTTTGACTCTGAGGGCCGTCCAATTAAGTTTGACATTTGGCTCGATGACCTGCACCTGTTCCTCCAGATCACTGCCAAGGACGATGTTTCCCTGTTTGACCACACGTCAAGCGCCGCTCCCGCACTTGCTGCTACTGCTGACAGCACTGCTCGCTCACAGTGGGAGACCCGTGACGCTCATGCTCGCCTAGCCGTTCGCAGCCACCTACCGCTAGATGAGCGCGAGCAGCTCCGTGAGTGGTACTCTCAGCGTGGGGGGTCTGGGGGTGGAGGTACCTGGCCGTACGTCATCCGCACAGGTGACCGCACTGGCCAGATCTGTGGGAGGTTTCACACGGCGCAGCGCTGCTTCTTTCGTCTCGACGACGCCTGGCGCGAGCAGCTCCATGATGCCTCTGAGCTGCCCCGCTGGGCTGATCTGCTTAAGAAGGGAATTGATATCTTTGCTCTTGATTATGATGCTATCCTTGGTGCTATGTATGCATTGACTATTAGTGTTGAGGGTGACTGCTACCTGAGTGTACCGCCCGACCCGGGTATTGGGACCAGTGAGACTGCCGCTCTAGGTGCTAGTGCGTCTGCTGCCCTAGGTCCTGGTGAGGCTGCTGCTCTAGGTGCCAGTGCGTCTGCTGCTCCAAGTGCTTGTGAGTATGCGCCTACTGGTACTGCGTCTACTAAGGCACTGCACACCTTCACACTCGACTCGGGTGCTTCCCGCTGATTCTTTTGTGACCGCACTGTCCTTGAGCAGCTAGCTCGGCCTGTTTCTGTCTCTCTAGCTGACCCCTCTGGGGGCCTAGTCCTTGCGACCTCCTCCACTGTCCTCCCTTGTCCGGCGGTTCTGGCCGGCAACCTGTTGGGTCTTTATCTCCCCTCGTTCTCTACGAACTTGGTGGCAGGCTCTGCTCTCCAGGACGGGGGTGTTCACCAGTTCACCCCTGCCTATGAGCGTGTGACCCACTGTACGTGTGCTCGGACGGGTTGCCACCTGGCTACCTTTACTTGGCAGCTGGGGTCGGACCTGTATACACTGACCATTGAGTCCCCTCACGTAGCTGCGTCTGCGTCTGCGTCAGCTCGGCTGTTGGCCCCCTGCTCGTGTCGCACCCTGTCGCACCAGACTGTCCTCTGGCACCACCGCCTTGGTCACCCTTCAGTGCAGCGCCTTCGTGGCATGCACTCCCGGTACCTTGTCTCTGGTCTTCCCAGGGTTCTCCCTCCTCTCCCACCCTCGCCTGCTCCTCCCTGTCTTCCCTGTGTCGAGGGGCCGCAGCGCGCCACGCCTCACTCCTCCTCGTTCCCTCCCACAGAGGCTCCTCTGCAGACTCTCCACCTGAACGTGTGGGGCCCAGCCCGCGTCCGTGGACAGGGCCACAAGCGGTACTTCCTGCTGGTTGTCGACGACTACACGCGCTACACCACGGTCTTCCCCTTGCGCACCAAGGGTGAGGTCCCTGATGTTTTGATCCCTTGGATCTGCGCTGCTCGTCTCCAGCTCCGCGACCGGTTCCAGTCGGACTTACGAGTCCTGCGTCTGCACTCTGATAAGGTTGGTGAGTTTTCCTCCGACCTCTTGGCAGCCTACTGTGCGGAGCACGGCATCCGCTAGACGTTCGCACTACCGATCTCACCACAACAGAATGGGATTGCTGAGCGCCGCATTGGCTTAGTCATGGAGGTCGCTCGTACCTCTATGATCCATGCAGCTGCCCCCCATTTCCTGTGGCCGGTTGCAGTGCAGTACGCTGCGCATTAGCTCAACCTCAGGCCCCGGGTCTCTGCTCTGGAGACCTCGCCCACTCAACGTTGGACGGGGAAGGTTGGCGATGCGTCGGTGTTCCGAGTCTCAGGATGTCGAGCCTTTGTCCGCGATACGTCAGCGGACAAGCTCTCCTCCCGTGCTGTTCCCTGCGTCTTTCTTGGCTTTGTCCCTGACGCGCCTGGCTGGCAGTTTTACCACCCCACCTCGCGCCGTCTCTTCCCCTCACAGGACGTCACTTTTGACGATTCGGTACCCTTTTACCGTCGATTCCCCTACCGCACTGCGCCGCTCCCCCCCCCGCCGCTCTTACTCACGCCAGGTGCTGCTTCGGTAGACCCCCTCCCTCCCCAGGGTCCTGTTCCCTTAGGTGTTTCCCAGGTAGACCCGGTCGAGCCTGTCAAGGTAGCTGTCGACTCTGGTCCTGCGAGGGGTACTGAGATTGGGGGTGCTGAACCTGGGGGTACTGAGACTGAGGGTGCTGATCCTGGGGGTGCTGAGCCTGGGGGTGCTGAGATTGGGGGTGCTGAGACTGGGGGTGCTGAGCCTGGGGGTGCTGAGCCTGGGGGAGCTGAGACTGACCGTCCTGCGCCTGGTGACGCTCCCTCTTCACAGCAGCTGCGTGAGTGGTACTCTCAGCGTTACAGCCTCCGGCGTGGGGCTGCTGGAGCTGGGGGTTCTGCCAGAGTTGGAGCTGGTGGTGCTGCGGGTGCTGGGTCGCAGCCGTCGCCTCCCTCCCCAAAGCGACTGCGCTGCAGCCTCCGGAGCGGCGCTCCTGGCACTGGGGTGCCGCCCGCTGGAGGCCCTTGTGCTCGTACAGGCGGTACTGGAGCTGCTGGGACTGGGGGTTCTGCTGGAGCTGGTGCTACAAGAGGTGCTGCTGGTGCTGGAGTTGGAGCTGCAGGTGCTAGAGCTGGTGGAGCTGCCGGTGGAGCTGAGGACGCCGAGCCTACAGGAGTTGGTGTCGCTGACGACCCTGGGGTTGGTCTTGCAGGTGCTGGAGCCGACGGTGCGGCTGGAGCTGGCGCTACTTGGGGTACTGGAGTTGGCACTATTGGAACTGCTTGTAGTACTGCTGGAAATGGAGCTGCTGCTGGGGAATTTGGTGCGGTCTCTGCTGGTTCTGAGGGCGCTTCACGACCGCGGCCGTACTTCGTTCCGCTCCTTCAGCAGGTTCTTGGTCAGCCGCCTCCTCCTTGTCCTGCTCCCTCCTTAGAGTGTCCTCAGCCAGTCCAGTCGCAGGCACAGTTGCAGCCTTCCTCGTCACTTCCTAGTCCTTCTCCCTACACTGGTCCGACATGAGGTCTTTCGGAGCGTCGTGAGCCGGAGTCTCGTCCTGTGTTGCCTGAGTCTCGTTCTGCGTCACCTGTTCGTGCTGCTTGCACTGGTCCTAGTGTCCCGCGTCAGCGTCCTCCTGCTGTCCCAGGCAATCACCAGATGACGCTTCGTCTTTCCACTCCTCCACAGCGAGTCCCTCTGCCTTCTCCTCCTGTGTCCTCTCTACCTGCCCTTGCTGACCCGGAGTCTTACTCTCTTCGTGCTGCTAGTCCTACTGTCACGCGTCTCCTGGCCACGGCTGTCACTAACCCTTCCTTTGAGTCCGCTGCTGCGTCTGCCCTAGTTGCTGAGCTTGTCGACTTTGGTGCTCGCTGTCGTCTAGACTACGCCGCTATTCTTGTTGCTGTGTCTGAGTCTGTCTGTCCTCCGTCCGTCGGGGGTGAGTGTGCTCTAGGCACGGACGTCCTTGAGGACCGGCAGGAGGAATTTGAGTGCTTTGCCGCTGCTGTACCTCATCTCGTGTCCATGCTGATTGCACCTGAGGGAGACCCCGATGCACCAGACATCCCGACCCGGCGCTCCTGAGGCGATCGCGGGTGAGTACTCCTCTTAGTGGCAGACAGCCATGGACGCAGAGATGGCATCCTGGAAGTCCACTAGCACTTACGTCGACGAGGTTCCCCCTCCTGGGGCGAACATCGTCCGTGGCATGTGGATTTTCAGGGTGAAGCGGCCGCCAGGTTCTCCGCCTATCTTCAAGGCTCGTTACGTTGCTCGAGGCTTCAGTCAGCAAGAGGGAGTAGACTTCTTCCAGACCTTCTCCCCCACCCCGAAGATGCCCACTCTTCGGGTGCTAGAGCACGTTGCCGCTCAGCGTGACTACGAGCTTCACTCTCTTGACTTCAGCATAGCTTTCTTGCAGGGCAACCTCCACGAGGAGATCTGGCTGCGCCGCCCTCCTGGCTTCACTGGGTCGTTTCCTCATGGTACCCAGTGGAGCCTCCGGCGGCCAGTCTACGGTCTCCGCCAGGCGCCACGTGAGTGGCACGACACACTGAGGATTACTCTTGCGCCTCTTGGGTTCGCGCCCTCTACTACTGACCCGTCGCTGTTTCTGCGCACCGACACGTCTCTGCCGCCGTTCTACATCCTCGTGTACGTCGACGACTTGGTCT